TCGCTACACTTGCAGTTGCACAACACCAGTTGTAACTACCTGTGCAGAACCAGTAATAACAGGAGATATTTATTAATTTGTAAGCATATTCTGTAACACAGTGGTATCGTTGAAATACGACAACCCAATGTGTGATCTATTACCAGAATCGACCTTGTGCTGTCTTATCCCGATGGACCTTATACTCTGAATGGCGCAGAGCTGCTTAGCTTTCGTTGGTCCACCGAGACCATGCTGAAGAGTTGCCAAATAGCACGAAATAGCTGTCCATGATTGGCCGTCTGTGGTCATACGAACGAAAGATATACTTCCATTTTTTAGGACCGTGTCACATAAGGGTTTGGTGCAACAACCGCTCATCTCCATTATTAATTTTACATTATTAACGGAAAACTCTTTTTTACAGTAAGAAAGCGGACCAACTGAGAGCAAGTTGTTCCAAGCTATAGAAAAAGGTACTGATATACAGTTCGGCACGAAAAAAGAAATGTGTATTGGTCCTTTTTTTCGCCAAGTGCGATACAAAAAATGGAGCTGGCCGTTTTTTGCCCCAAGAAGAAGCAGCTGGATTATGTTATATAGTTGTCCAATATTGACGCAGGAAAGTAAACGTCAATTTGACATAGACGCTATCTTTGTTTTCTGTCACCGACATGTGATTTTGTTAGTTGAATGTTTACCATTGATCGCTATGGAGTCGTATTCGATTGAAGACCGCATTAAAGTTATTCAAGAGCACTACAAAAATGGCGCAAAAATAAAAAACACGTTTTGCGCGCATCGTGAACATTTCGGTCGCAACAACCGCCCAGACGAAACAACCATCAGTCGTCTGGTGCGTAAATTCGAGGCAACAGGTTCTGTGGCAAATCTGCCAGGCTCTGGCCGGCCAAGGAACGTTCGCACACCGGAAAATATTGCTGTTGTGAAGGAGAGTGTGAGAGACGATCCGAAACAATCAACAACGCGTCGATCCCAAGAATTGGGCATTTCGAGAACTAGTTTGCTCCGCATTCTCCACAAGGATTTGAATGTACACGCCTACAAGATCCAATTGACGCAAGAGCTGCGTCGGGCCGACCATTTTTCGCGCCGAACGTTCTCAGATTGGCTCCTTGAACACCGCCAAATTGATGCCAATTTTTCATCAAAAGTCATGTTCAGCGACGAAGCGCCTTTCACTTTGAATGGGACGGTAAACAAGCAAAACTGCCGCATCTGGGCAAACGAAAATCCCCGTGAGTATCTAGAGCAGCCGATGCATCCTCCAAAAGTGACTGTGTGGTGTGCATTGTGGTCAAAAGGCATCATCGGACTTTACTTTTTCGAAAATGCGGCCGGGGACGCCGTTACCGTCAATTCTGAGCGATATCACGTGATGATAGAGGACTATTTTTTGCCGCAACTTGAAGGAATGGGTATGGACGATATTTATTTCCAACAAGACGGTGCAACATGCCACACAACCAACGTCAATATCCATCGATTGCAGTCCTTCTTCGGTGATCGCGTGATTTCGCGCAGAGGAAATGTGCCTTGGCCACCAAGATCGTGCGATTTGACTCCCTTGGACTTCTTTTCATGGTGATATTTGAAAAACAAAGTCTACGTCAACAAACCAGCCACCCTCCAAGAACTCAAAAACAACATCATTGCCGAGATAAATGCCATAGAACCGACCATGTTGCAAAATGTCATTGAAAATTTCGATCATCGCGTGGACGTCTGTAAATCCAGTCGTGGTGAACATTTGAGCGATATTATTTTTCATACATAAATGGTATAAATGAACCTTCAATATAAAGTACCCAACTTGATTTGAATATCAATCCTTCTTGTTTTAATATGCGATTAATGTGCTGGGTGAAATATCCTGGCTCACTTGTACAGCTGTGAATTTCTTTGAAGTATTTTTTATCAGGTCTTTCCAACCCTTGGGCGTATAAACTACTTCTTCCTTAGATTTTTCTATTTCCATCAGGCCAAAAGATCTGTCATAGAGCAAAAAACTATGCCCTGGCTCGAGAAAGTGATGAACTTTAACCCTTAAAATTCTTTCTTTTCTTTCTCACTATTAATAAACATATGCAAAAACTGTACGAGCTCCGAGTTTTGATTTTCACGGTGTGTTAAGGTAGTGATGCAAATAGCTGATAACCCTGTTGCTTCCCCTTTTAGCTGTGATTTCGTCATATAAAATCGGTGCTCCCCCGATTTCTCGGAATGTACACAAAGCATATTAACCCACAACTGCCTTTTATGAAATGCGTCTCGGACGGAGTATGTGGTAAAGGCATGTTCTGCTAGTAGTGAAAGCACAAGACCTCAACAGATTCTTCATTTCTGGCCTGAGTGCATTTTTCTTTCAGCGAGGTGTAAAAAGCTTTTTACAGTAGTTGCAGTTTGGCTCAGACTAAATATTGCTAGACGCACCACTACATACACATTCACGCAAATGCGAGAACAGCTCCATCTATGATTTGGTGCAAGACCTGGTCAGGTTCTTGCCCCAAGGCATTACAAGGACAACTTGAACTACAGTTATATTTCACATTGTAGAGCGTGGAGCTGTCCATTTTTTACTCCAAACGACGCAACAAGTCAAGTACAACGGAATCCAAAACATTATTTTCTAAAAAAAGTGGAGCTGACCGGTTTTTGTACCAAATCCTTCAATTGTGATGTTTTACATACATGCGTAGGGTATGGTGATGACATACAGGGTGGCGCATCGAAAACGAAACAGACGCATTCACTGGCAGCTCAGTTTTTTTTTGAAAAACGCTCAGACCTGTCGATTTTGTTTTAGAGGAAGACACAAGTTTGGCAAAAAAACACGTTAGCACGTGCAACCCCCTAAGCGGGGGTGACACCATCCCCAAAATCTTAAATGGAAAAGAGGGTCGAGTGATACCTCATTCTAAAGGTATTTCAATTCCCTTTATAATGATATAAAATTAATGTACTCCAGTTCAGCAGTTTTGAATATTTATTGATTTAAAGCTTAAATAAAACTAATATACTAAGTGACATATAAATCCGAACACCCAGTTTAAATGGTTTTATTTTAATAAAATTTTGTATAAGTACTTAATGAAGCATAATAAGTAAATGATAAAAATTTCAAAATGATTGCACTGCTTTAAAGCCCTTTGACCTTTAATAATGTGTGGATGCACCCTGATGTGCTACGCATTCTCCAACGCGCCTAGGCATGCTTCTGATCAGGTGGTCAATGTCCTCCTGTGGTACCTCATTCCAGGCAACCACCAACTCCTCTCGAAGTGCTTCTAGAGTCTGAGGAGGGCGTTGCAAATTGAGCAATCTCCTACCCATCATATCCCACACGTGCTCAATTGGGGATAAGTCGGGAGATCTTGGTGGCCATGGTAACAATGTGACATCATTATGTTGAAAGAAGTCTATTGTGACACTTGCAACATGTCGTCGGGCATTATCTTGTTGGAAAGTTGGATCTACCAGGGTGTCAAGATAGGGTAAAAGATGGGGTTCTAGAACTTCGTGGATATAACGCTGCTTTTTGTTGAAAGACATGTTCATCGCACTGTTGGAGTTATGGTTTGGGGTGCTATAGCTTATGGTTCCAGGTCACCTTTAATCTTCATCAGAGATAACATGAACGCGCAGCGTTATATCCACGAAGTTCTAGAGCCCCATCTTTTACCCTATCTTGACACCCTGGCAGATACAACTTTCCAACAAGATAATGCCCGACCACATGTTGCAAGAGTCACGATAGACTTCTTTCAACATAATGATGTCACATTGTTACCATGGCCACCAAGATCTCCCGACTTATCCCCAATTGAGCACGTGTGGGATATGATGGGTAGGAGATTGCTCAATTTGCAACGTCCTCCTCAGACTCTAGAAGCACTTCGAGAGGAGTTGGTGGTTGCCTGGAATGAGATACCACAGGAGGACATTAACCACCTGATCAGAAGCATGCCTAGGCGCGTTGAAGAATGCGTAGCACATCAGGGTGCATCCACACATTATTAAAGGTCAAAGGGCTTTAAAGCAGGGCAATCATTTTGAAATTTTTATCATTTACTTATTATGCTTCATTAAGTACTTATACAAAATTTTATTAAAATAAAACCATTTAAACTGGGTGTTCGGATTTGTATGTCACTTAGTATACATCATCATTGGTGGAGATCAATACATTTGGCAGCAAAGTAATTTAAAAATGAAGAACGAACTGACCCGTTAGGCAAGTAAATGTTGAAAATGGCCACCATGACTCTCCATGCAATAATAAAGATTTTGCTCAAAACGTTGCCGCATATTTTGCAATATTTGAGGAGTAATTTGAAGGCACTCATTCACAATTCTTTGTCGCAGGTCTTCCAACGCTGTCTGCTGACATACGGATATACGGATGAAAACTATGGGCCTTTAGAATCCGTTGGACAGCACGTCGACTAACACAACACACAAAAAGCATTTACTTATTAAGTAAATTCTTTCAGTCAAATTTCTTCTGAAAGTAGTTAAAACTAATCTGATGTACCTATGACAGTCTACTTTAAGCTTTAAATCAATAAATCTTCAAAACTACTGAACTGAAGTACATTAATTTTATATCATTATAAAGGGAATTGAAAGACCTTTAAAATAAGGTATCACTCGACCCTCCTTTCCAATCAAGATTTTAGGGTTGGTGTCACCTCCGCCCAGGATGCTGCACGTGCTAACTGATTTTTTGCCAAACTTGTGTCCCCCTCGAAAACAAAATCGACGGGTCTGAGCGTTCTTCCAAAAAAAACTGAGCTGCCAGTAAATGCGACTGTTTCGTTTTCGATGCGCCACCATGTAGTATAATCGTAGCTTTGCATTTGTAAACATCATAAACACTCATAAATAAATACTTTGTTATTTCATCATCAGTTCATAAGGGATTATGGTCGAATATATAGAACGAATATGTTAAGCGGATCAAGCCAGTCAAACATGCTCATACACTTAATCCGTAGTGCGCCGACCTTCTGGCAACCTGCTATGGTTCACTTTACCGATCTCCACAGGCAGCCAGTCGCAGCAGGGGAAACCCGGCAGTTATGATTCGTCTACACGGGGACAGTAGGTAAGTGGTAACTGAATGTTAAGCATCGCTGTTTTGCACAAGTGCTGTTTGCACTGGTTGAGCTCTAAGTTCACTTACTCGTAAGTTCTAGTGCAGTGTACATTACAATACCTGACAAGATGAATGTGTCGCTGCACCTTGTAGAAGAATTTAATGGCATACTACGCGATATTCTGAATATTATATTAGAAGAAATAAACGAAATATATGAAGAGAAACTTGTGTGGACCTTAAACTTTTTATTTTCAATAATATTTCATTTTCATTAAAATTCGATATATTCGTGTGTGCTTTCATAGCTAGGATAGCTGCACTACGAGCGCAATTCCTGTATTTTAAATGTTTAATATTCCAGAGGCACTCATGGTTTACATACTGCAAAACACACTTTACTGTAGTATATTCCGTGTACTTCGATGTCATTTTATCAAATAGTACTAGTCAGTAGGTATACTTGAACTATGAACTCAATCAACTTATGCGCGTGTTGAATAAATTTCGTGCGCGAACTAGTTTAGACGAATCAAGTGACCAGTACAATACGTCAACTTGCACGAAAAAATAGAATAGATCCTATTCCGGTGTACTAAATTTTTACTTGCTACGTAACTTGTTACTTACCACATAGCGCTGTTTAAACAGGTTCAAGTTACTTAAAACTTAGTTAATACTTAGTTAATGGTCCCGGTGTAAACAAGCCATTTATTAGGCACTCATCGATGAGACAGTAGTACAGCGTAGAGGTAGCCAGAGACCAAAGACGCGTATTTCTTTTATCACTCTTTTCAGGAAAAAAGTACTGGGAAATCTATGATATGTGAAATATGTCTAATGGTGGTGAATAGAATTAGCTAAGTTGGGAGCGTATGGATATACTAACGTCAAAAAGTTGCGATATATCCTCTCACATCCCCTACATCTCCCGAGCCCCAATTTTCACTCCCACAAAGGTCTTTCAACAATGGTCGGAAAACGTGGTTTGATTGATTCTTGAATCTTGAATCTTAACGCTCTGTGGTACGCCCTGGCTGACCAGTTTTCCTTCTTCGTGTTCTTCTGCCTTCTTCTATCCACACACGACACTCACGCATTACCGTCATTGCAGAGCAATTAACACGACAGCCAATTTTGCGATAGGACAAACCAACATCTCGATAGGCAATAATTCTACCCCTGCCAAAGTCGCTAACATGGTGATAATTTGGACGTCTTCAAACTTGAGGCATTTTGTTATGCTTAGCACTAGTAAATGGAGGGGAAAAACTAAAAATATCTGTACTACTCAGCTCTCAGGAGCTGCTTTCTTCACATAAACGTCATAACATTGTAACAAAGGTAAACAAAAACAAAGATAAAATGTTAACACTGTTGTCACATCATGCTTTAAATAGTGTCATTATCTAAAAACAAGTTGAAGTAATTATTTTTTTTTAATGTCACTGAGTATACATTACTCATTCCTTCCATTTGTAATTGAAAATGTAGCTAATTGCGTTGCTTTCCGGGATTAAGAGAAACTTAGTACTACCTACCACAAATTACTAGTAACTTACATAAATTACTAGTAACTTGTAGACTTGCGAGACTTGTATTGTTTGTGTTACAGACTGCGGATCTATACATGATGTTCCGTAAGGAAATGGACACAGTGGAGTTGTAGGTTGTATGGTATTGACCTTTTCCTATCCAGAAATAAACAAGCTATAAATTCATTTTTCACGAATATCAATGGTGAGTTATGTAAACACGCCAAATCTTCAATAACATATAATAATAATAATGATAATAATATATACTATAGTAATGAAATAAGGAGAACTAAGTTTCAATGTGGGTCACAACAACAAGATAAGCCATTTATTTTACATGGATGACTTTTTGGCAAAAATGATAAACAGCTATAAAAGGAACTCTCAATAGTTAAAATATTTAGTTATGATATCTGTATGGAATTTGGACTTGACAAAAGTGCCAAGGTTGGAATGAAAAGGGGAAAAGTAGCTAACAGTGAAAACACCAAATTAGACGACGACACTGAAATAAAAAATTCAGAGAACGGTGAAACCTATAAGTATTTAGGCTTGAAGGAATACGGTAGTGCAGTGAAGGAACGACTGGCAAATGAGTACTATCGGCGTATAAGGCTTCTTCTTAAGACGGAGCTGAATTCTGAAAACAAGGTGATGGCTATCAATTCAATCGCGATTCCTGTGCTAACCTATAGTTTCGGGATTGTTAACTGGTTAAGATCAGATATACATAAACTAGACAGAAAAACAAGAAAGCTCCTAAATTATGAAGGAATGCACCACCCTAAATCTGACGTTCAGCATCTATACATCGCACGGCGTGAAGGTGAACGGCGGTTAGTTGGTCCATAACCCAGCGATACTGGATCTATATGAGTACTTGAGCTCAGAGAGAGACAAGTATGCGAACTTGTCGATAAACCATGATGCTCAGAAAGAAAACTACTTATTTAAGAAAGATGCGGAACGCATAAAATCAAATAACCAAAGTGACGGCTCTATAGCATCGAAGACGAAGGACCATGTCAAGGCCAGCTCTGCTAAGCATCAGATAGAAATGCTGAAAAATAAGCCGCTACATGGTCAGTTCTACCGAGACCTCAGTAAGCTGGCATTAGACAAAGATGCTAGCGTTGCACGGCACTGTAGCTCGGGCTTGGAGGGCGGAACAGAAAACCTCTTGGTCGCTGCTCATGACCAAGCTCTGGACACGCGCTATCACCAGAAGCGCATACTTGGCTGTGAAGTAGACAGTAAGTGCAGAATGTGCAATCAAGCTGAGAAACACATAAGCCACATCGTGGATTGACGTACCACACTCGCACCTACTAAGTACACAAAGAGACATAACACTGGTTGATGAGCAAAAGCGCACACTCCAGAGAACCATAAAGCTGCTAACAACGTGGATGTCCGTATCATGTGGGATGTCCGCCCGGACATAGCATATTTTGACAAAAGAACGAAAACCTTCTCACGGATCGATGTAGAGGTTCCTAAAGATACGAACACAATGCTGAAGGAAGCAGAAAAGTTGAGCAAGTATAAAGACCTGGAATAGAAATGAGCAGAATGTGGAATGTCAAGACCAGAACAGTTCCAGTTATCATCGGAGCCTTGGGAACTCTCAGGAAAAGGGCATAGACCTACTTGTCACAGCTCCCAGGACAACCATCTGTTACCGAAGTACAGAAAATGGCACTGCTAGGCACTGCACACATCATTCGCAAGGGATTAGGCCAACAGGGCAAGAGGAAACCCTATAATATTAATAATAATAATAATAATAATAATAATAATAATAAGAATAAAAGTAATAACAGTTCCAGTCATTGTAGGAGCCCTAGGGACCCTTAGAAAAGGGTTACAGACCAACCTCTCACAACTATCAGGAAAACCATCTGTTGCTGAAGTGCAGAAAATAGCACTACTTGGCACTGCTCACATTATCCGCAAGGTATTAGGGTGAATCGCTTTGATCTCGGGTAGAGATCTGGATTCGCTTAAAACTGCCACAATAGGACAAAATGAAAACACTAAAATAATAATAAAAGTAATAATGATAGTAATAGTAATAATAATAATAATAATAATAATAATAATAATTACAAGACACAACAAAGTTGCAAAAGCATTGCACCACGTCATATGTCAAGATAATGGCGTAGTTGTCAAGAGGATTTGGTACGAACATGACCCACAGCAAATCTGAAAGCATCACCATCTTGTGGAACCAACAGATCAGTAGGGATCGGATAGTGCCTGCAAACAAACCAGATATAGTAAGTAATTAAAGTCACCAAAAATGGCATCTGTATTATCATTGACGTTGTCGTGCCCAGTGACTACAATGTGCGGGAACAAGAATCTAAGAAGATTATTAAGTATAGGGACCTGTCCATTGAGACCAACAGAATTAAAACACAGATCGTACCACCAACTTATTGAAAAACCTAGAGAAAATGTCAAAAAACATCAACATGCAACTGCTTCAAACATCACATATAAGAAAAGTTTTAGGCTGATGCTTGACCCTAGGTCAGAAGCGGAAAGTAGAACGACCAGCTACCACCATTTAAAACTGTGAAATAAAGAGAAGATAATAATTACTTTTATTCATGTCAGCCTCGTGGATATGAAACGACAAAATACAGGTTACAGTAACTATCACAAGGTAAGATTATGCACAATTAACTCAAAATTACGATAAAGTCGACACGAAGTCATTATCAGAATAATGATATTTTTCTACCAAAAATGCTTGCACACGTTTTTTAAAGACTACTAAGCAACTAAGGCTTTGATATCATTAGGTACATGGCTGCACACAGATACTCAGGACTTTTACGATAAGTGCTTGAATTGAAATTAGCGATCTTATTGTTGCGAAGGTTGTACTTTCAATGTATTTAAACTTATAATAATTATTTTTAACGAATACGTATGCAAGCCTCAAGAATAGAAACACTGGAAAGTGTCAACAGTCAAGTTGGCCCGAAGGTCTATAGACGGCATCTAAGGTATTTATTCAATTTTTGTTATGTGAGACAGAAATTATAATTTCAAACGTTACGTCGTTATAGCGCTCCGAGCTATCCACGCAGAAACTCCATTTCATGATCTCCGGGCCACGGAACGATGCTACGAAGAGAGCTCTCAGAGCTCCCAGTGAGGCTAGGAAACCGTAGAAAACCGCTTAGTCGTCCAAAGCATAAAGTAAACGCACTCCAATGTTACGACCCTCAAGATATCTTTGTGAGAAATTGTCAATCCTCCATTCTATTACCCCACAGTTGGATCTTTATCCGGCTTTCCTGGAGCAGTAAAAATTGATTTAGAATAGAGTTTACTTCCGAAAGCCGCGCTTATTGACCGAACTCCAGGCAATTTGAAATGAGAAATCGGTAGAAGGATGCTAGGAAAATATTTGAGTCAACGTCACGTGCGCATTTAGTTCAGTGTGTCTACAAC